CTTTCCAGCCTTGTTCCCCTCTAGGTACGCACGCTCATATTCCCTGACCTTCCGGAAAAACTTTCTGATCAGGTCAACACTGACTGAGTCGAGGGCAGGGTTGATGGTCTCACGGAGCTTGGCTAAAGTGAAGTTACTGTGCGCTCTGCAGTAACGCTTAGACTGTCCCTACACGCGCTCGATTGGGTTCAACTCGCAGTGAAATTTTGTAGGAAGTGACACTGGAAACCCCGGCTGATGACGTAATGCTCTACCTGAGTTTTCTCGTTTGCGAAGTCGTCGTGGTTACTCAGGATGATCCTCATATCATCTGCCTTCAGTGTTGAAGTGAAGATTCCACGTTCGGCCAAAATTGTTCTCAAACCTTTGGCTGATCCATCTGGGAGCACCATTGATTGTGGTCGGCCTCCCCAGACTGTGTCCCGGACACGCCGTGGTCCCCCATCCTTAACCAGGATGTTCCGAGCAACGAGAGCCTGGTCATCGAACTTGCGGTGGCAGCTGCTTTGGTCGAGGATGAATACAACTGTGTGAGACGATGGGGGATATTTGACTTCTACAATATCACAAGCCGTCTTCATCTGCGTCATAAACTTGTCACCAGTCCAATATCCACCACGCTCGCTTCCATATTCAAAAACCACTCGTGCCTGCTGCTGGATGCTTGGATTCACAGCTTTGGCCTGTTGATGCTCTTGTTCAGAGAGACGCAGGAATCCATCGTGTTCGTCGACGAAGTCCGACACCATCAACCCACTTCCCTTGGTCTTCGGCAGCAAAGCCGGTCTCTCTTCCTCCCCCCTACATCCAGGTCTGTCCTTCGTTACTATGGTATATTGATTCATCATGATAGATAAGCACAAGCTCTTTCTTTGCATCGTTCCGTTCATCCCTGACCCTAGGGGGCTCATCACTGCATAGCGGAGGAGGTCGGTGTGAGTCTCGGAGGGCAGCCATGGTGCCAAGATACTTCTCGCGGTGTTTAATCACATCTTCCCTTTCATGTCCGTCGATGTAAACACCTTTACGATGGCTGACTGGTTTGAAACCAAGATGATGCAGCCAACGAATGGCAGTGCGCACAGAAATCCTCCAAGGGAATTGTGGTGGAAGGTGAGAAGATGGCAAAAGATCTTCATTCACCCACTGGCAAAACGACTGAGCTGTCATGTTCGGCTTGCCTTTGGTGAAGGCATTTTCTCTAACCCACTTGGCTGCTTCTCTGTTCAATTCTTCATCGCGATAGATCGTCAGTCGCTCGTACTTTCCCTGTTTTCTCTCCTTTAGCTCTCCCTTGTTTTCGTAAAACTCCTTTCGTAGTTTACGAACCGTCTTGTCGCTGTAGCCAACGATTGAGCCTGCTTCACGAGCTGCGTCGACGATGCCCATTCCCTGTCTTGTTCTAAAACTCTCTGCCAGGAGAACTGCTAGCATCCGCCGCTGGTCCAGTTGAAGGCTCAAGATAAACTCATCGAAAATGTCTTGAGCGCATTCGTCGTCGAATGTGTCATCTTCACTCTCGTACTCGTCGCTACTCAGTTCTGGCCCTTCGACAATGAATGCGCTCTCGCTCGGGTCTACACGCTCTTGCTGGAGTGATGAAACGAGGCTTGGGGACGGGGAGGTGGTCGAGGGGGCTGGGGAGGTGGTGGAAGTAGACGCAGGTGTGACGGCGTCAGAAGAAGGTGTGACAGCGGCTCCGCTGCTCTCGCCGCTCGCTCGAGCTTTAGCTTGGCGCTCCTCTCTCTCATCTTTCTCTTGGTACTCCAAGGCCTTCCGTCTGCCATCTCTGACACTCTACACAGATCTTCGCTTCGGGGAGAAAACCTGCGATAAAAATAATATAGCGATCTCGCGCACATGGTCACGCATGCGCACAATAGCGATTACATCATAGTTTCCATGGTAACAGCAGTAATTCTGCATATTGATTGGTCGGATTTCAGTTTTCATGATCTATATTTTTTGCTGAATTTAACTGTGGCTACTAAATATGTCTATTGTGTATACTTTAAAAGTTATTTTGCTAAGTATTTTTGGAACTTTATGCTGGCAGGCACTATGCCTTCTCATACTCCCTGACCTTCCTAAAATACTTTCTCATGAGTTCTACTGTCACAGAGTCAAGGGCGGGGTCCAAAATCTCTCGTAGCTTCGCGAGGGTGAAATTTGTGTATGCGCGACAGTAACGCTTCGATTGCCCCCACACTCTTTCGATCGGGTTCAGCTCACAATGGAACTTTGGTAGGAAGAAACACTGCAAGCCTCTCCTGTTCACTTCATGTTCCACTTGTGTCTTTTTGTTCACAAAGTCTTCGTGATTTGCAAGGATAGTCGGCTTTTAGGGTTCCTGTGTTGATCCCCCGCTCTCTGAGGATTGTCCTCAATCCCTTTGCTGAACCATCGTGCAGCACCATCGACTGGGGCTGGCCAGCCCACACAGTGTCACGTACGCGGCATGGCCCTCCATCCTTGACCAAAATGTTCCGGGGAATGAGGGCCTTCTCCTCGAACCTTTCGATGGCAGCTGCTCTGATCAAGGACGAAGACGACCGTGTGGGAGTGTGGCGGGTACTTGAAACTGGCAATGTCGCCATCTGCTTCATAAACTTCTCTCCCGTCCAATACCCTTCCCGCTCACTGCCGTACAAGAAAGTCACACGTGCAGTTTGGGCAATGGTTGGATTGTCTACTTTAGCAACCGCAAACTGTTCGTCAGTGAGGCGAAGATAGCCATCATGCTCATCCACAAAGTCGGAGACCATCACACCACTCCCCTTCATCTTTGGATTCGAGGTTCTTCGTCGCTGCATGCGGGAGGTGGTCGATGCCAAGCTCTGAGTGCGGCCATCTCTCGCAGATACTTTCCACGATGGAGTACGACGTCATCTCGCTCATGCCCGTCGATGTACACGCCCTTTCGATGCCTCACCGGCTTAAAGCCTAAGTGATGGAGCCAGCGCATGGAGGTGCGAAACGACATTCGTCGGGGGAAGTGAGGTGGCAAGTGAGAAGAGGGGAGAAGGTCCTCGTTCACCCATACAGAAAAAGATTGGGCTGTCCTTTCAAGAAGGCATTTGCTCTCACCCACTCCGCAGCTTTCTTGTTCATCTCTTCGTCTCCATAAACTGTCATCCTCTCGTATTTGCCTTGTTTTCTCTCCATCAAGAGTACTGCCAGCATGCGTCGGTCATCGAGGGGAAGGCTCAGGACGAAGTCGTCGAAGACCTCCTGCGCGGCATCACTCTCCTACTCTGACCCACCGCTAACTCCGTGGTCTACGCTGACAACAGCGCCGTCCTGGCTGGTCTCCTGGGAAGTCTGAGGATCAGGTTCTCGTTGTACGCTCTCAGTAGGGCTCGAGGGAGAGGTGGCGTGAGATGACTGACCGACGGCGCGACTGCGTCTCCGCGCTCGCTCGTACCTGCCTCGCGGCCACTAGCTTATCACCCCTCGCCTTCATCTTCCTCTTGGTGCTCCAAGGTTTGCTCTCTGCCATATCTGCTCTCTTCCCTGCTCTTTCCAACGGAGTTCGCCCCTGAGCTCTTTATTTTCTGCACACACGCGCATCAAAAATTATTCGCTATTTACTTAATGACGTCATTGTTACCATGGTAGCTCCGCGGTAACTATTCGTAGCCCCGGCAACCACGCCTTCAATTCGAAAAGACGCCACGCGCGCGGACGGTGAACTGAGCTTCTGGAGCGGTTCTCCACGAAAGAAACCAGGAACAGGCTCTTCTAGCAGCAGCGCATGACTACTAGAGAGCTAGGAAGACGCTAGAGAAAGCGTACAGGGAGAAAAACGCGTACAAACGGCCGGCCGGCGCGATCCAGAAGGCAGCAACGCCTACAACGGACACTGCAGCGGGACGGACTTGCGCGTAGTCTAAGCCGGTTAGACGCGTCGCCTGGGAAACTACGTATTAGTGAGCATCGGAGCCTGAGTAGCGCCCTCGCTGCGCTCGGACGCCGACAGCTCAGGGCTCCTCGGCTCACTAAATCGCGTAGCACCCACAGCTCAGCGTCTAACCTATACGTAGATTTCAAAAGTATGATCCTTTGTTAAATATTGAAAAAGTTATGATGGCAGCCACCTGAGTATTATTATTATTAACGAGGGTTACTGTAGTTGTCGTGTGTCATTCATTCTGTCAGTTAAGTGAGAACTCACTTCTCCAGTCATAGATCGCGTCCAAAACGGGTTTACATACCCAGCGGCCGACGGAGGTCAGAAAATATGTGGGATTTTCTCTGAAACTGCTTCGTTTGCAGAGCTAGAGCGTTTTCCTGTTTGTACGGTACAGCAAAGGCGGCCATTTTAACAACGCGCATGTGCGTATACACAAAACGCACGCGACTCCGAGGCGGCATGCATGCGGCCAAAGCGGCGCACGCTGATTGGGACCACGTGGCCAGCAGCCATTTTCCCCCCTGTGAGACTAGACAGAGAAGACGGTTGAGTTCAGTAAGTATGCCTCCAACTAAGGCGTTTTGCTCACTAGGTTAGGCTTGGGAGGTAAGAATAATCTTATCTATGAACCTAAATACAGCACCAGTAAGTACAACAATTCTACCAGACCTGGTGATACCATTGCCCCACCCATTACTTTACATAATTGTGCGTGTGTGTTCACTATTATCACAGCGCCGAGGGTTTGCACTTCAGTGCCTTTCATTTAAAAAGTTATGTACGAAATAAATTTTGGAAATTTATGCTGGCAAGCACTATATAGCCATGAGTGACACATGTGAATTCACAGTGACCAATTGTTGGCACAACGCAGTAGATAAAGCGCTGAGACCTGGCTAAATGTTCTTCAGTATACAACTATTTTATGGAGGGTTGCAGGAATAATTTGTTGAGTATTTTTATGACTGTAATACTTGTCTGCATAATGGTGTAAGTTTGTATAATGATCACATGAGATGTGCTATCCCTACATGTACAGTGTTTGCCGATGCTCTGATGTACATGTATGTTTTTTTATCTGATTCAGTGGATGGCTATCTTCAAAGCATGATCCTCTTGGCTATGTTGACCGCATTGACCGCAGAATAGAGGACTTCACTGGACTCACCATGTCCACAGCCGAGCAGCTACAGGTGCAAACTTTTCACTGGGCCGTGCAATATACACACATGACAACAAGGAATGCCTGCTGTTCACCATGCAAGAATCTGTTATGTAGCTACACATCCATGAACAACATTAAAACTAGAGAATCAGATATTGTGGACTATGCGTTGGATTCTGCAGCGATAAAAATGGCCGACTACGCATTAGCCGTACAATGCTGGAAGTGTTTGCAACGGAGCATTTTGAGATAAAACCGCTTTCTGACCTTCATTGCCCATTAAGTAAGTTGTATCGTTTGTGAGACTAACGAACACTGGAGAAGTGAGATGTGAGTGACAGACACACACACACAGACCCCAACTACCGTACCCTTGCTGCGCATGCGCACCGAGGGTAAAAATCCGTGGCATTTGTTATAGTATGTGAATGCTTGCACTAACACACCAATTCAGTTCTTATATTATGTGTTTTATACTACAGGTGGTAAACTATGGGATAGGAGGGCATTATGAACCACACTATGACTTTGGCACCGACGAAGCTTCTTTCACTGATGGTAAAGACAGAAACCGTATCGCCACTGTTCTTTTTTACGTGAGTGGACACGATCCTTGTCTTGTTAAACGTATCAATTGTCAGTCCACCTCAGTTGTCAGATGTGGAATTGGGTGGTGCCACAGTATTTCCCATAGTCGGAGCTCGCATCCAACCTTTCAAAGTCTGTTATGGCTGTCCACAACCGTCAAACATTTATTGTGTTTTTGTCTTCACGTTTTCTGTAGGGAGACGCTGCCTTTTGGTGGAACTTGAAGAAGTCAGGAGAGGGAGACATGCTCACAAGACATGCAGGCTGCCCTGTCCTAGTGGGCACCAAATGGGGTGTGTTAGCCTTGAGAGCCCAGGCTCTTAGTATTATGCTGCCGTGTCTTGTCTGCCGGGAAACCTGCCTGGAAACAAGGAACATAATTAATGCTAATGAATTTCTATGCAGTTTGCAACAAGTGGATACATGAGGGAGGTCAAGAGTTCAGAAGGAGGTGTGGTCTAACTCCAAATGAAGAGTCATATGGACACTCACTCTAGTGGTGGCTCGCCCTGGTTTGATCATTGGATTCCCAAAGAAAGAGTTTTGGCCATTATCATTCTTCCTCACATTTTGTTGTACCGTTTGGTGAATTTTAATTTCTTGCCCTGACGTTCCAATCAGGTTTAAATGAAGCACTGCGTAAGTGAGTTTCTTGCAATGAACACCGTGAACAACAGTAACCACATCTTAGTAGAAGAGAATGTTCTTTGTCCTCGCACAATATTGTTCTTCTTGTCTGGTAATTAGGCCTTGATAAGCATAAGTTTGGGAATAATGGGTATGGATGTGAATCGAGAATAATGCCGAGAATAATAGGGAAGTTTTGGGGGTAGCGTGTAATTATTTTCTAAACCTCAAACCTCTGCATTGGAAGACTATATTCAGATATCTGTTATGTTACAATATAATAGGTGTTGATGGAGTTGTATTATGTTATTTGTGTATGCATTTCTGAAAAGAATTAAAGGCACTGAAGTGCAAACCCTCGGCGCAGTGATAATAGTCACGCACAATTATAATAGGTGGGGCAATGGTATCACCAGGTCTGGTAGAATTCTGGTGCTGTATTTAGGTTCATAGATAAGATTATTCTTCCTCCCAAGCCTAACCTAGTTAGTTGGAGGCATACTTACTGAACTCAACTGTCTTTAGTCTCACAGAGAAATGAGGGGGAAAATGGCTGCTGGCCACGTGGTCCCAATCAGCGTGCGCCGGCCGCCTGCCGCCTCGGAGTCGCGTGCGTTTTGGTGTATACGCACATGCGCGTTGTTAAAATGGCCACCCTTGCCGTACCGTACGAACAGGAAACGCTCTAGCTCTGCAACGAAGCAGTTTCAGAGAAAATCCCACATACGGTAGCCGAAGGTATTATGAGACACTTAGCTGAGTACTTGCAGAAGCTTAGTCCCACAACCACAGTTTTCATAGGTTTAACAGTTAAACTAACTCCAATTCTCTGCAACTAATCGTAATGATCAGATACCCCCCAGTATCTGACAATTTTGCAATAATATTTAATTTAATCCAGCAATGCATTTATGAGACAATGTATACAGTTCTGAAATTGCATACAGGCCACATAAGCTGTTGGTTTCTATAACACAAAACACTTATCAGACAATGTAATGTGTAAACATACTTATTTTGTCAGAAAATTAAGTCCATAAAAGGAAAACTTAACCCAATACACGGTAGGTTTCCACCAAAAATGGGAAACTTAACCATTTTTCGTAATACCATTTGAAGAGAGAAATAAAGTGGTATGCCAAGGAACGGAAAGAAAGTGGGGTCATGGCCTGGGGTACTTTCTGCCACATCTCTTCCACAAACGTGTTGAACGAAAGCATGTACTTTAATATATCCTCTTAGTATTCGACACACTCAGAACACACAAATACATCAGGAACATCATCTGCAATATTTAAACAATCAAAATGGAACCATCTGTCGCACTGGTCACAACAGATCCATCGTGACCCCTCTTCTGACTCGTCTTCCCCCCTTTGACAGAGTGGACAAGTTTCAAGTGAGATATCCATTGCAGCAAATGCCTCAGGAAGGGACCTGTTCTTTTTTCCCTTTCTTGCACTTCGAAGGTTTTTCTTTTTCTCCCTTTGTTCACGTTCCACTCTCCTTTCTGCCTTGAGTGCTTCCTGTCGGGCCTTTTTGGCTTGTTTCTTCTTTAAGCCCTGCAGTACCTCATCTTTTGTTATGCAAACAGCTCCTTTGCTAGCCCCTTTCTTCCTTCTTGCAGGAGGCTTAGGCAGGGTAAGGATTTCACTGAGAACAGGTGAGGTTTCGCTGCTGGACGGAGAGCTTCTCAAGCATCCAGAGGAAGTTACTGATTCCGTATGTGTAGTAACGTGTAACTCTGGCGTGTATAGCCCGCTAGCATGCACCGCAGTTCACCAGTTTGTGATACGAGTACAAAGACCCTATAAACAGCGTACAACACACTTATATACAACAGACTGCACATGCGCACAAATACAGCATACACACATACAGGCAGTACACATTCTGCATGCACTAATGTTCACTTGACTCGGTTGCGTTAGTTCCCTCTTGACCACTCTGCTCAGAGGACTCGGCTGTGTCTGGGTTAGGCAGACGTATTAGATCGCGTCTGTTTCTACGAAATGTTCCATCCCCAGTCACAACTAGGTAGGATCGAGGTGCCACCTCTCCTTCGACCTCTGCTTCACTCTCTCTCCCTGGGACCCAGACATGGTCGCCAGGCTGCAATGGTGGGAGTTCTCGAGCTCCGTGGTGAGAGTCGAAATCTTTTTTCTGTCTGCGTTTTATTTGCTGGTCTTTGGTTTTCACCAAAGTGAGGTCGGGAATGCGTGGTTTCCTCTGAGCTCTGGTCGTTGGAACTGTCGTCCTGACAACACGTCCCATCAGGAGTTGAGAGGGGCTGTAACTTTGTTGTAGTGGTGTGGTATGGTAAGCCAAGAGAGCTTTGTAAGGATCGTCCCCTTTCTTCAGCAGATTCTTTATGGTTCTGACGGCTCTCTCTGCCTCCCCGTTCCCCTGAGGGTGATATGGGCTAGTCGTGACATGACGAAACCCATACTCCTCTGCAAACTCTGCAAACTCTCTCAAGGAGTACTGTGGCCCATTGTCGGAGATCA